CACTTTCTAGAATAAATCTATCAGCTGTGAAAAAAATATCCCCCCCTTACAGTCTCGCCTAAAAGTGGGTTTTTGGGAGTGAAATTTTGGTCCATAACTCCATGTCCGACTTATAGGCGATTCATGAAAAGATTGCGTTTTTATATTGATGACCAAGGGTAGTGTTTTTTAAAGAGTCCCGTAATTTATCATTAAACGTCAGTCTTAATATAAAATCATAAATTCATTCTTTGGGTTATTTAAATATTTAATTTTCAAAGTTTTTTTTTTAAAATCTTCACTGTATATTTCTTACATGTATCTGTTAATGATACAAATATATATACTTAAATATCCTGGTCATTTGTAAAGAAATATTGACTGAAAGCAGGTTTAAACATTTAAAAGAAATATTGACTGAAAGCAGGTTAACATCACATTATTGATTTAAAATTGTCGACCAAATCTGGAAAATATTTTACTCAATTATAAGCGGGTCAATGTCAATAACCCAAAATTAACTACAAAAAATAACAAGAGGCCCATGGGCCACATCGCTTTCCTGAAAAACTTTGGCCATGCTGTTCTTTAACAGATTTCCCCTCTTTGTAATACGAATTGTGACCAAGCCCTACCCCTGGGGGTCATGACTTGAACAATTTAGAATCTACACTACCCCAGGATGCTTCATGCTTCCACTTAAGTTTTAGATTTTCTAGCCCAGTGGTTTTTCAGAAGATTTTAAAAGTTTTTTCCTACATATTTCTATGTAAAACTTAAATTTCCCTATTGTGGCCCCGCCCTACCCCTGGGGTCATGATTTGAATAATTTAGAATCTACACTACCCCAGAATGCTTCCACATAAGTTTCAGATTTTCAGGCCAAGTGGTTCTTGAGAAAAAGATTTTTAAACTTTTTTCCTACATGTTTCTATGTAAAACTTGGATTCCCTCTTGTGGCCCCGTCCTACCCCGGGGGTCATGATTTGAACAATTTAAAATCTACACTACCTCAGGATGCTTCCACATAACTTTCACCTTTTCTGGCCCAGTGGTTCTTGAGAAGAAGATTTTTTTTTCCTACATATTTCTATGTAAAACTTAAATTTCCCTATTGTGGCCCCGCCCTACCCCCGGGGGTCATGATTTGAACAATTTAGAATCTACACTACCCAAGAATGCTACCACTTAAGTTTCAGCTTTTCTGGCCCAGTGGTTCTTGAGAAGAAGATTTTTAAAGATTTTTTCCTACATATTTCTATGTAAAACTTAAATTTCCCTATTGTGGCCCCGCCCTACCCCCGGGGGTCATGATTTGAACAATTTAGAATCTACACTACCCCAGGATGCTTCCACATCAGTTTCAGATTTTCAGGCCAAGTGGTTCTTGAGAAAAAGATTTTTAAAAGTTTTATCCTATATATTTCAATGTAAAACTTGGATTCCCTATTGTAGCCCTGTCCTACCCCTGGGGGTCATGATTTGAACAATTTAGATTCTACACTACCCCAGGATGCTACCACATAAGTTTCAGCTTTTCTGGCCCAGTGGTTCTTGAGAAGAAGATTTTTTAATGACCCCACCCTATGTTTGTATTTTCCTGATTATCTCCCCTTGGAAGGAGACTTGGCCCTTGATTTTTACAATTTAAATTCCCCTTTACATTGAAATGCTTTGTACCAAGTTTAGTTAAAATTGGTTCAGTGGTTCTTGAGAAGAAGTTGAAAATGTGAAAAGTTTACAAACGGACGGACGGACGGACGGACGTACGACGGACAATGGGTGATCAGAAAAGCTCACTTGAGCTTTCAGCTCAGGTGAGCTAAAAACTACTTATAGGCGGACCGACTGATACACATTTATATACGGTAGTAGTACTAGGCTATATTTTCTTGGCAGATTTGTCCGAATATGCAGGTTCATAAACTTTTACAACCTATTTCGGTGATTAATGAAAGACTATAAAAATGAAAGGGGGAGAGAGTGTACAAATACTGTTCAAGCACTGAGGAATGCAAACAATGTTAATTCCCAGTGTAGGATTTAAGGGGATGCACACACTACCTTAAATTAAAACTGTCAAGGTAAGCGTAAATCGCAGTTTCGGCGAGAAAATATAAAAAAAATGTCTACTCGGTATACCTCACTGTAAAGTCTCGCAAATCCCCAGGGCGCCCCCAGATAGAACTCCAGCCTACTTTATGCCCCCCCCCCACCCCCGACTTCAATTTCTGGATCCACGACTTTTTCCAGTCCTTTCCCGCTCATAGAATGAGACTTGGATTTCACTTGGTCTAGTTACTGGAAATTGACCTAATTAAATTTCATGATTAAAAGATTAATATTATGAGAGCTTTACATCTTATGATATCTTAGCGGCGGGCTTTATATATCCCCAAACGTAAGAGAACGGTGCAATGGGTAAGAATTCTTCACAATTATTAATTTTCTATTTGAAAAATCTCAATTTTTAACGAAAAAAATTGGCTTTTATAAAAAAAAAATCAAATTTTGTTTATTTACCTTTCGAAAATATTGCTTAACTTTTTATCAATAAGTTTGTCATGTTTCTAATAAGTATTGCATGTATCTTGTGTGATATAAAATATTTTCCCTTTTTTGTAAAGTCAATAAACTTATTATTATAATAAAAAAAATTAAAAGAGCTATAAATAGAGAAAGTTTTGGTAAAACAAATTTCATATTCTATTTAAAGGTATGTCACTCGTGAAATTTGTTAAATCAAGGATTTTTTGAGAAGTATATTTTGGATAAGTACTCATATAGTGCGACTCAAAATCGCAGAGAAAATAGGGGGTCAGTGTGCATCTTACTGATCTACGGTACAATTAAGTTGACCTTTATGCACTTAAACTTTAACGCTTTGGCAAATTACTTTAACCTTTACCATATTTTATCAGATGTAACCATGGCAATAAATATAATTTTATTTTAAGTAAAATTGTTTGAATAATATTTATCATTGAACAAATCTTACAAATTAATGCGCGTAAATTATTGTGTGACCTTTTTGCACTAAAAAGTAACACATTTGGGGTATTAAAAACTAAATAGGCAATAAAACCTTTTCTTAAATCAAGCTTTTTACGACTTAAGTGCTGATCGGTCACAAATATCGAGTACTTTAAATTAATGAAAGAAAAAGTGGGGTCAGTGATGTTAATTTTGAAATATTGGTCAAAATATGTGATTTTCGGGCGAAAAATCTTATAGATTTTATCTAGACTATTTTGACATATTTTTATTTTTTGGCAAAGTTTGTTGAAGGAAGGTGTAAAATTTGTTCTAAAAATATAAATTAATACCTATATTAAATATTCCTAGCAATATCATAATGGAAAATATTCTGCGAGTAAAAGTATGTAAGGCTTAAGTTCAAAGACATTAAATTTTAATAAATGTGCAGATTTGCAGAATTATTTGCTAAATATCCTTCCACCACAAGAAATAGCCCTCATAAATCTTGCTTCTTTGTGGCTTTTCGAGCAGTTTTTCCGTTGAATGTTAAAACATTAACATTGTTGAATTTAAATATGTTATAAAAATTGAATTTTGGTAAAAAGTTTTGAAGCAAGAGGATCTGCATTAACTTTTCTAAAAAACTGACGAGTGACATACCTTAATTACAACTTGAAAAAAATTAGGTATGTTTTAATGAAGGTTTGATAATGTGCCAAGAACATTCTAAATGTATATGCATTTTCCATGCTACATAAATTCTATTATATATATGGAAATTTAGATCAAATAGAAATATATCAGCCACAAAATATGTTTAAGATAACGAAATCGCTTGATCCATAGCTTCTTTGGTATGATGTAGACAAAATAATTGGAATAGTTTGGAATCAACACAAGTTAAATGTAATTCGCCCCAGAAACATTTTTTTATTGTAAAACTCAAACACAAAAACCCCTAAAGATCTTCATCGCATTGGTTTTTCCTTTCCTCATTTTACTCTAAACCCTAAGAAACACCTAGCCTTGGAGCTCATTTGGTAAGACCAAGGAAGTGGAATTTTATTAAAATGAAATTTTAATTAAAATGTAAATATCAATTACAAGATACTTACCATTTCTGACATTGTAGGCGGCCTGATTCTGTTGGCGATTGCCATTTTGGCTAGCACCACTGCAGTTTTAGGTAAGCAGGTAGAGAGCAAGAAATACAAGAAATATACAAAATTGTGAATTTGAAAGCCGTAGCACCACCTGTCCAAAGTTATGGCCAAGGGTGTGTTTTTGAAAGTTAGTTAAAACTCCAGGGTCAAGTTAAAAGGGTCAAAGTTGTTGTTTTTCAAAAGTTCTTGTTACAAGGATTATATAATACATGATATATGCAGTATTAAAGCTCTACACCTAACCGTTCAAAAGTTATGGCCAAGGTTAATATTTTTAAAAGTACGTCAATCTCAGATATCAAGGTCAAAGGGTCAAAGTTGTTTTTTATCCAATAAAAGGTCTTGGCACAAAAAACACATATTTGAAGAACGAAAGTCCTAGCATCTAATGTTCAAAAGTTATAGTAAAAGTAAAAGTTTGGAATTTTTGTGTAAAAGTGGATCAATGTCCAAGGTCAAGGTTAACAGGTCAAATTTGGTGGTTTCCAAAGAAAGGTCTTGTCACAAAGAATACACTTATGAAATATGAAAGTCATTGCTCCACAAAATCCTACGTTATATGCAAGATTAAACTCTTCGTGAACAAACAAATCTGACAGACAGACAGACGGACACGACAAAAACTATATACCCCAGAATATTCGCTTAATGGCCGTGGGCATAAAAAAGGAAGACAGTTACTGTCCAATTTCAAACGTTTTTTTCTCCTTTAGCGAGGAGATGTGGGAGGGGGATAATAAATATAAGCTTAATATATCACATAATTGCAATTATATGGATGTAAATAATGAAATTAATATGAATTGACAAATGACTGCTATTGTTAAAACACTGTTATTTATTTTTTTATCTATTCAATTTTTTTCTTCAGGAGCGCCTGATAATCGCGGTAAAGAGTTTGTCATTGGTTTTATGGATAACTACATCATGGGAGGTAATCTCCAGTGCGAGCTCTTCATCACCACCGCCCGTACGACGACAGTTAGTGTAAAAGTAGACTCCCCAAAGTGTTCCAACCCTAAAATCTCCGCTTCCTTCTCTATAACAGCTGGTCAAGTTAAACAAATCCTCTTAAATTACAAAATAAGAATGATTGGATCAGCGAAAGGCAGCAAAGGTAACTCTGAAATATCTCTATTTTTAATTTCTTTCCTTTTTCTGTCTTTTTTTTTTTGGTTGATTTTCTCAATTTACATGTATACAAGTTTGATCCCAATTTTAGAATCATTACATTTATAGTCAAAAGGTTAATAAGTTAAAATGTTAATTTCAAAATATGCATCTTATTCATTTGAAAGGTATCTGGGTCACCGCCTCGGACGAGATTGTGGTTTATGGCGTTAACAAAGAACATTATTCCAATGATGGTTTTGTGGGCCTTCCCACTGATGTTTTATCCGATGAATATTATGTTGTCACGTGGTACCCTCCATACAGGCAATGTGAGTTACTGGTTGTCGGGGTAGAAGATTCCACGAAAGTCACTGTTACACTGGGACAATACATGGGAAGTAGGTATGTTACCTATAACAGAAAGAATTATAAAAAAGGCAACTCCATAACAGAGAATCTGAACAAATTCGACACTTGGCAGCTTATCACCACTGGCGACCTGAGCGGAAGTAAAATCACCTCGAATAAAAAGATATCCGTTTTCTCTGGAAACAAGAAAACAAAAATAGGCATAGGCAATTCTCAGGATCATTTGGTAGAACACATGACTCCCGTCAACACCTGGGGTAAAAAGTTCGCAACTGTCCCAATTCCGAAGAGAACCGTCGGGGATTACTTTAAATTCATTGCCAGCGAGGATAACACCAGAGTCACGATATCGGGTGGCTACTCGTCATCATTTACAATATCTAAAGCGGGAGGCGTGGTACAGAAGCTCATCTCCTCCAAAGCCTATTGTAGGGTAGTGGCAGACAAACCTATCATGCTTGTCCAATTTGTCCAATCCCAGGTAAGTTCCTCTGAACCATCTGACCCGGCCATGATGATCATTCCTCCATGTGAACAGTACGGTGCTGACTATACGTTCGCTACGCCCAAATATTCTGCCGGATCCTATGAAAATTACTTCATGTTCATTGTTGAGGAAAAGGAAGCGTCCGGTCTGAGAATTAACGGCAAAGCTTTTCCCACCAACACCGCCTTCAAGCGGATCTCTGGGACGACTCTAGTGGGGGGATACATCTCTATACCTGAGGGGACTCACACAGTTCGTCACACGTCTCCTATTGCTATTTTTGGAGGGTTTCTATACGGAAAAGCTCCTTATGAAACATATGGGTTTACCACTGGCATGAGAATGGCCAAAGTAAATGCTGTAAGTCGAAAGTTTTGTTTTTAACTTTCTTTATCATATGAGACAGAAAATGTTTATTTATTTATTTATTTCAACGTTTTTAAAAGTGAAAATGATGTTTTTATAACTTTTAAAAATGAAATTGTGTGCGAGAGGAAGAAACCTGAATAAAACTTGAACTGCGCTATTTGTATCAGCGTATAGTATTAATGTGTACTTAAAGATTTGTATTCCTACGCCGACTGTGACGGGCGACGGTATTGACAACGATTGTGACGGCAAGATTGATGAAGAATTGTGTACTCCAGAAAACAAAAACAAAGGTCAGAATTACAGTGTAGACAAAATATACTCAAGTTTTCAAGTCTACGATTATTACACGTGTCTATTATTACTGCTACTTCATTTATGTCGTTTATTTAATTAGCCACATCATTTGTTTTTTGCTGACAGATGATGACGGCGATGGAAAGATTAATGAAGACTGCGCTAAACCTCCACCAAGTGAGTCTTTCGTTGAGATTTCACAGAAAAAAAAACGTCTGTATTTGATTCTATAAAAGCATGTTGACTGACCATTTATATCGATTTTAGTTGACGGTAACTGGGCTAGTTGGACTTCCTACAGCGCATGCTCGGTGACGTGTCAGCCAACGTCTCGTAGGGTATCTGGAACTCAAACCAGAACCCGAAGCTGTTCCAACCCGGCTCCTGCTTACGATGGAAAACAGTGCGCAGGTTCAGGGACTCAAACTTCGACTTGCTCACCAACCAATCCATGCAGAGGTATGAGTCTATGATCATCATCATTATTAATTCAACAGATCATGTTTTCGAACTCTTTTGAAAAGATACAATTTCAAAGTTTCGCATATTTTTTCTTGTTCGACTCGAATTATAACATTTTTAAAAAATATTTGTTGCAGAAAGTAATTCATATATCAATGATTAATTCTAGTGGATGGAAAGTGGGGATCCTGGGGGTCGTATGGTGCATGCTCTGTGACTTGCGGAAGTGGTTCGAAATCCCGCTCAAGATCCTGTAACAACCCTGCTCCTGCAGGAGGCGGAAGTAACTGCCCTGGAAGCACTTCATCGACTGCAACTTGCACTTTGTCTGCTTGTCCAAGTAAGTTTTTTCTGAAAATTCATTCTAACCATCTTTGTTTTTTTTTTTTTTTAGATTTTAACAAGACACGTATTTGAAAAGAGCTCATAACGGTATAAAGATATCGAAGAATATCAAGCAAATCTTGAACAAGCTCAAACGAGTCTAATTATTATTGTTCATTTATTTCAGTTGACGGTAAATGGGGATCCTGGGGATCCTACGGGTCCTGTTCTAAAACTTGTGGTGGAGGGACACAATCAAGAAGTCGCTCTTGCTCTAATCCCGCCCCTAGATATGGCGGAAGATCTTGTTCTGGATCCACTTCATCGTCTCAAAGTTGTAACACTCACAACTGTCCTAGTGAGTGATTTAGAACACCTCTGCAAAATTAGTCATTTATTTTTTGACATAGGAAGTCATTCTTGCAAAATTTGACAATTTTAAAAATTCACCATCGAAATTTTCTAGGAGCTAGTATTCTTCTTTGGATAAAAATGATATAAAACCTCAAATCATGAGAAAAATTTTTTTATCCCGTGTTTAATACACCATCAATCAATGTTGTACAGTTTTTAAAAAAAAAATCCACTTATTTTGATTTATCATACTCAGGCAAAAATAATAAACACATTGTGACGTCATAACTGTGGGATATGAAAAAAATATCCAATGATATTATCCAAGGGATAAAGGGGTAAACATGGGAAAAATTATCTTATTTTATCAGTTGACGGAAAGTGGGGTTCCTGGGGCTCGCATGGCTCCTGTTCCTTGACCTGTGGTGGTGGCACACAAACCAGAAGCAGAAGCTGTAGCAACCCCGCCCCTCGATATGGCGGAAAATCTTGCGCCGGTTCTGGGACTTCGTCTCGCAGCTGCAACACAGCTAGTTGTCCAAGTAAGATAGCAAACGTATCATGAAATGGTATAAATGTATCAGATCAAGTATGTTTCTATCAACTCAATGTTTTTTTAAAGAAAGCTTGGTTCACAAAATGCAGGAACAGCAGAAATAGCCCTGTTAACATTTCCATTAGATGACAGGCAGAGCATTATATTAAAACATCATACAAACCAAGTTTCAAAGAGGAAACTTCATGCTTTCATTTTTCATTTATCTCGCCCTAACCTTCTTCAAAAAAGTCATTCTTGAATCTTGATAAACTCTGTATAGGTACATGTAGTATACTCTGTACTTTGATTTTCTTATTTTCCTTATTTATCGATCACTGAGGAGGACCTAGAATCTTTATTTTCGATAATTTCTCCAGAAGAGTAAATGTCATAGGTAAAAATCGTTAACATACAATCAATCATCATACGTTTCTCTCCAGTTGACGGTAAGTGGGGATCGTGGGGATCTTATGGGTTATGCACTTTGACCTGTGGCGGAGGAAGACAAACCAGAAGTCGGTCCTGCTCTAACCCCGCCCCTCGATATGGCGGGAAATCTTGTTCTGGATCCACTACCTCAACAAGGAGTTGTAACACACACTACTGCCCTAGTAAGGTTTAGACCTACTTGCTCAGACACCTTATTAGCATCTTTTTGTGATAACTTCAATGAGTACTTACTAGTATATTTCCAAAATCTTCACCCACTTTTTAAGGTTTAAAATGATAAAATTGTTCATGATCATTGGCGAATAGAGATATATAATCTAAAAAAATTATCAAGAACATACTGATTTAGCTTTTCAACCGTTCATTATTCAGTGATATGTCTGTTACTTTCTCATAACGTTCAGTTTTTTTTCTCTTTTCGAATTCAGTAGTTATGATAATGATGTTATTACATTCATTAGATCTACAAACAATTTTTTTTAATAACTTACCTCTAAAAATAATTTTAAAATTCCTTTTCCCAGTTGATGGTAAATGGGGATCATGGGGATCCTACGGATCGTGTTCCATCACGTGCGGCGGTGGCACACAGAGAAGATCCAGGACCTGTTCAAATCCGGCCCCAAAATATCTGGGAAAGGACTGTCCAGGGTCTTCTAGCTCTTCACGAGATTGTAACACACACAATTGTCCAAGTATGTTGAGTGTGGAAAATGAATGTGAAGTTAAATTTTGTGAAGTTTCAATAACAAAGATCTACGTTATTCTGTTTTAACAACAATCTGCCCACTCCATGCAAATCATCTATCTTTTTTGAATTTTTGCACAGTTGATGGCAAATGGGCGTCTTGGGGATCCTATGGATCTTGCACAGTTACGTGTGGTGGTGGCACACAGAGACGAAGCAGGTCCTGCTCAAATCCGGCACCAAGATATCTAGGAAAGAACTGTCCCGGATCTTCTAGCTCTTCTAGACAGTGTAACACCCACTTCTGTCCAAGTATGTTTTTCAAATAGGACCTATGCATATTGAACAAATGAGATCTGCAAAGTTTACTTACATTTTTGAAACTTTTTCTATTTCCATTGGTTACCCGCATTGTGGGACTCGTCAGTATGTTCAATGTATTTCATCTTATCCAGTTGATGGAGCCTGGACCTCGTGGGGGAGATACGGGTCCTGTACCGTGACCTGCGGGGGAGGGACTCAGGTCAGAAGTAGGTCATGTACCAACCCCCAACCTCAGTACCTCGGAAAAGACTGTGTGGGACAAACAACTTCTTCAAGGAGCTGCAACACACATCACTGTCCAAGTAAGACCAGTAACTGTAGTACTGTTGTATTTAACTAATGTCATCTTTAGTTTCACCCGTTTTTAATCTGATTGACATAGACGAAAGACGCGAAATAAAACGGGACGAAAAATTTCCTGTAAACAGAACTGTTGGTAATGACTGGAGACAAATTTTATCACAGAATAGTTTCTCATATGCATATATGGTGATATAGGCCAAAGCAAGATTTTATTAATACTTACCGATATAACAGTGGCGGAATGATACTGGGATCCTGTACTAATCAATCTGTATCTGTAGTAGGTAAACTGAAAGAAAAAAAAACATGAATCGTAAAATGTACATGTATATATGTATTTTAAGTTGACGGTTTCTGGGCCGGCTGGGGATCCTGGGCTACCTGTACAGAGACGTGTGGAGGCGGAGTCCAATCCCGATCCCGATCTTGTAGTAACCCCACTCCACAATATGGCGGAGCTTATTGTTCTGGGTTCTCTTCCGACACTCAACGATGTAACACACAAAACTGCCCAAGTAAGCACAGACTACCTCAAAAAGCCATGTTTTGAAATTTCATACACACATGCATTACAAATCTTGAGAATCTGATGTAATCAATGAATTTCAGTCAATGGAGCCTGGAATTCGTGGTCGAGATGGGGATCTTGCACGGTAACGTGTGGGGGAGGAACACAGAGGCGATCAAGAAGTTGTTCTAGTCCCACCCCTCAATACGGAGGACTGGACTGCGCTGGATCAAGAACATCCAGTCAAACCTGCAACACTCAGCACTGTCCAAGTATGCATATTATTAAGCAGCCTTAATATTAACCTACCGCTCGAAATGAGAGGGGGAGTATTCGCATAATCTGCATTATTCCTCTTCAATCCGCAGGTGTAAGATTAAACGGATTTCTTGAATTGCTTTTGTATGTCTTACATGCTATGGCAAAATTCTGCGGTAAATTTGTGATCATGTATGTAGCGTAACATCCTAAAAGTATAATGTCTTTAATTGATTTTTAATCTGTGCCCTTTTGTTTATTTTTGTTCTGATTAGTTGATGGTGGTTTCTCTAACTGGGGATCCTGGGGTACCTGCGCCGTAACTTGTGGCGGAGGAACACAGGTGCGCACGCGCAGTTGTTCTAATCCAACTCCACAATATGGCGGTGCACCATGTTCAGGGGCAACAAGTCAGAATCAAGACTGTAACACACAAGTCTGCATCAGTAAGTTTGGTCCGGAGATAAACAATTCAATTGAAATAAATTTAAATAATAAAAAAGATGTTTTACTTCCCATATCTTTTTTTTAGGGGGGGGGATTCTTGCATTTACATTCATTTGAATAAAAACAATACAATACCCCAAAATGTCTTCTACGAACTTCATCGAATGTATATTATACAGAAGTATAAAAAAATAAAACTTAATCAAATGACACTTTCGATGGATAACGTAGGGCGTTATGAGATGAGGATACATGTACATTGACCTCTTTATATTGTAATTTCGCAGTTGATGGGGCGTGGAGTACATGGGGAGCCTGGGGATCTTGCTCTGTGTCTTGTGGTGGCGGGAAAAGATCACGTGCTCGCACATGCTCCAACCCCAAACCGGCTAATGGTGGGAAATCGTGTTCCGGGTCTTTGAAAGAACTGGGAGACTGCAACAGTCAGTTTTGTCCGACACCAGCTGCGGGAACTTATGTACAGGTAAGGTATTTAGAGAAGCAGAACGCGCAGGTAAAACGGAACTAACTTCTACAAACGAGTATGCAGGCACTAGAGGCGCAGATCTAGATAGATCTGATTATACTTAGTCAGAAATACATGACGAAGAGAAGAGATATATTATCCATGTTTTAGCTAGCAATAGCAAAGATGAACACTGACTGACATACAATGGAATTGGAGGTTAGAATGAATTGTGTATACATATGCAATTAATCATTATGATAGACCACTCGATGTGATTGTTCTATTTCAGTTATGTCCCACAGGTTGGTTCACGTGTCAGTCAGGAGGCATCACGTGTATAGACAAATCATTTGTTTGTGATTGCTCAAACGATTGTGACGACGGAAGTGACGAAACAGTCGGTTACGCCGGATGTTCTGGTGCGGTGATCGCCATGTGTGCAGAAAACGGTTCAGGTTGGTAAAGTTTATGTCTTCAATTTTTTTTCTAATATTGTAAGAGTACATTTATTGGTTCAGAACTCAGAATATAAATATTATACTGATTGTGTTGACGTATTTCAGCGGAGATAGTGACGTCACCATTCATGGTTCTGTTCTTATTGATGTTGGCACTGTATCAAATGTTGTAACAAGCAGAAGAGGAGGACCGACTCGTATCATACAGAATTTTATCGCATTATATATCCAAAGATTTCATATGAAATCAAATTTGAACTCGACATTAGGTTGGTAGTGTACTATAGTTTTAAAAACTACAGAAAATACATGTACACCGAGGACAGAACAAAGTTATCAAAAGGCCAAGGCAAGACAACCAAGATGGAAGAATCGTGCATGCAGTTAAAAGTTTTGTATGGTAGGACAGAGGCAGGACTTGTCCCTTACTTAAAGGTCAGCCCTGTCTACAAAATTCGTTATTGTGTAGGTATAACGAGAACATGGCGCACTATATCACTCTGAACTGATTCAAATTTGATTTTATATGAATCTGAACATTGTTGCATATAAAAAGATTCTCTTCAATGTTTGTTGAAGTTTTTTATCATGATATTTTTCATTCGGTAATATGAATTTTGGATATTCATTGTTATTTTTCAAATTTCACCTTAATTCTAACTATGGTAGCTAGTTGTGGGAATGCTTAGGCTATATATGTGATGTTACATTCTTACTTGTTTATCTTTTACATTGAATGTTGAGCAAAAACTGTTGTTGTTTTCGATAATTGGTCATTAAATAAAGACCAGGAATGAAGTATAGAATCTGATATAATATATACTTTTCTTTATGTCATTTGGTGACTGATTGGATTTAATAGATAAAGAACACAATCAGTATAAATCAACAACACAACGATTTTAAGGGGTACCGACCCTCTGATATGACAGACAACTCTCAGAGACAGTCAGAGTACAAAATAATGTAATATAGTAGTACAGTTTTTTTTTTTTATTTAGAATTTCCTAATTTAAACCTCTGAGTAGTCAATTCGATGAAATCTAACATATGATGGAAACATTACTTTCTATTTCTTTTGCCAATCTCTTACTAATTTTTTTTTATTATATTTAACAATAAAACATTTAAATCCTACTTCAAAAGCAAGTTGTATTTTTTAAAAGTCCATTTTAATAATGGTTTAATGTTTCAAGTACTTAATACAGAATTTTTTATAAGTATGACATTTTTTTTATATGAAGAAAATTTTTGAAGAAAGATAACTCCTCCTCACAGATGTATTTTTTCTTACAACCACATACAACATTGTAATTTTCTGACTTAGGAAGCATCGCTTCATGATGTTTTCTGATATCCTGATCTGAAATAAAAATCATTTCTGAAAAAATAAGCTGCACTTCTTACATCAAACTATTTTCCATGTGGCTCAAATGTTATTGTTGTTCATGAAAATCAACATTAGAAATATTAAATTTTCTGAGTGAAATTTGATAGCAGAGGGTCGGGACCCCTTAACTTATCTTCGATATTGATTTAATTTTCCTTGATTGCTGAATATGTATGTGTTCTGAGTCAATCTAGTCTGGAACCCTAAGTACTAAATGTATCTGCCACATCTGTGGTTTTAAACATTGGGTTTCAAACACTCCTATATTTTACTCTCTAAAAGTCTCTTATGAACCTTTCAGAAATGAATTTATGTCACTTAAATGTACATTCTGCAGTACTTCGAGACACCAAAAATGAGATAAACAAATACCTTACCTAGCGATGTCTCTTCTTCTTATGGAAAAAGAGTACCAAAAGGCCCAGATTTTTACATCATTTCCTGGTTGAACGAGATGAAGCAGAGTACTAAATGGGTAGGCATTAACTGATTGGCTGAATTCAGGTATTGTAAATATTTTCATTTTAAAGTAAAAATATTAATGTTTGGAATAAATGATGGAATGAAGAAATATTACAGAAATTATAAAAATACCAGGGGAGATTGTAGGAGTGGGGATTGGAATTTTTGACAGGGTGTCATTTACTGCCGATCGCTGTAAGTTCTAAATAACTGCAAATTTGACCTATAAACGCCGCGGAACGGTATATTTGTTTCCGTGATTTTAATAAGTGCTTAGAACGAACTTTCAAATGATATCAGAGATTTGTGTGAAAGGGAATTGATAAATTACTGGGAGGGCATAAGGTTTGTATAGAGTTCTATGGGAAATTAATTGGTACTCTTTTCCCTATGTGACAGCTTTAAGCTGAATGCAATTCACCTTCGAATAATTAAGCCCGCTTATATACTTTCGCTACATCTGCTGCTTTAGATCCTCTGAACGTTTTGAAGCATTTTCCGAACACAGGAAATAACATTGGATTTAAAAGACTATTTTTGTATTTATTAAATAATTATTAACTCGATCAACGGAATTTCACTACACAATGTTAAAATTTAGGTTCTTGCATAGGCCACTGACTGTCGCTTCATTGTCCAGAAAACAGAAATGAGACCAAACAGAGACACCTCATAGCAGATGCGTGTTCACCATCAAAATATTTATGTTACGGAGAACATCGTTCCAGTTAAACCCTAGATAGAACGTTCTATCGTTAAAATGATATTGTCCTACGGACCCGGTTAACGATAGAATTCGTTCCATGTCTTCGTGATGTAGCAAAAGAAACATGGGCGATAACTCGTACTCACTATAACTCAGTGCATTTACTACGAACAATCTAGAGAGTTCCGAATGTAAACATGGCAGGTAAATTTGAAGCGAGAAAAAAACGTTGAGAAAATTAATTGGATTTTCGTCTTTAGATGGATTATTTTCTGGGATAAAAGGCATAAGCAATCTCAGAAAGGTTTGTTTTGATTAATTTGGTAGTTATTTCCAGTGCAAATCCTTTTATATTCTTCAAAATCGTTTCGGAGCGGATCCGCTCCGATTTGCTACATTGCAAGTATATGGGACGTATTCTAACTGTGGTGAGGGCTTGTACCGAGACACAGTTAGATCATTCTAACTAGTTAAACCCAGAACCAAAACAGTGACTTAACGCTGATTAAATGAAATAATTGACATAACTGCTATGAAAAATTATTCACAAGATTTATATAGTATTGCGCACATTCAACAATGGTGACCCTGTGTCTCAACGATTTCAAGCGAAACGTCATAACATAACAACTCGGGCTCGAGATCCGATATGGTTGGACTTTAAAAACAACGTGAACACTAAAGTCTTTTTGACATTGTTCTAGCAACATTCTTGAGGTCTTTTCTGCAATTTTGACTTGTATTTGTAAGTGTGCTACAGGTTTTACTCGATCGGCAGTTTAAATATTTAAACATTGTAGAATTTTAAAAATTATCGTCTGACAGAGAGCACTGTCACTGATTCGCGCCAAAATGGCAGACATTGTAGATATACCGCCTATCGACTCATCGTGGACCAGAATTATTAATGAATATCCCCTGACCAGCTTACCAAAAAAGCTCAACAAGAGAACGGGTAAAGCAAGAAACTCGCTATTTGAAGAAGTTGATCTGAAAACTTACGAAAAGGGTGCAAATATGGTCGCTTTCCACACCAATTTACAAAGAATTTACCCGTGGATTAAGACTCTCGATAGCTTTTACTATGGTCACCTGGGGAAAAGCGATAGCTACATTATTAAATGGTATGATGAACCTGAAATCTGGGAAGATTCCAATGATAGCGCCAATTCTATTGTGATTGAGATAAGAGAGAAGGATAATAGCCTAGCATACAATGTAACATTTTTTATTACAACTGGAACCATCAGAGCCCAGGGCAGCAAGTACATGTTATTCGTTGAGAAACACTTTCCAATCCTGAAACGTGTACTCGGCCAAATTCTTCACTTGAAACTTCCACATTCATCGGTAGAACACACGGAAACAGAAAATCAGTCATCAAACAATGAGTCGAGAGTTGTCGAAACTGATGATGAGATAACACTAGTAAAAACGGCAGCTCAAGCACAGAGCCAAGATAAACGTAGTGATGAGCATCTAGTAAACCTACACAGATTTGAAAGTTCCATGACTGATGCAATAGGCAAGCTTGAGGCCAGCCAAGGAAAGGACATGAACTACTTGGTCACCCTTATCAATCAAAACAATGATGCCTGTTTAAAGAAATTACATCAGTGTGCAAGAGAATTAGAAGAGATTAAAGATGTCTGTCTATCTCTTAATAAATTTAAAATGGATGTCACCGAAACGCTCGAGAGAATGGAGAAACAGCTTAAAACTCCCATGTCTTATTCTCAAGCAGTGAGCTCCTCCAATGTTGGAGATCTTCAGCCAAAGCATGACACAGCAGCAGCGAAACCTAACATCTTACTCATTGGGACATCTAACGTGAAAGGAATCAATGAAAACAAACTTACCCCGGTTGCGGAGATCACCAAAATAATAAAATATACAATGAAAGAAACCAGGGACTTTATCCAAACCTGTAACCTACACCCAGACATATTAGTTCTTCACCCACTTACCAATGAACTGACAAAAATGGAGCCACAGGCCTGTGTTGATGTCCTAGAGAGCTTGATTCAAACAATTAAATCCAAATGGCAAAACACTATCACAATACTCTCACTGGCCACGCCAAGACTGGACAACCTTGAGTACCATACCAATGGGCAAATTACCAATGCAATATTGAAACAAAGATTGTCTGAGGAACCAATGTTGTTGTTCTGCGACCACGGTAACATGCTTACAGACGGCAATCCAACCCCTGAATTTCTTGCAGAAGACCAATATCATCTTTCAGTTAAAGGAACATCGCTATTAGCAGCCAATATCAAAAAAACCATTCACACTTTCTATAACATTCCTGTCCAAGATCGGGAAAGATCCAGATCTAGATTCCGCCACAACAACAGGAGAGGTCGAGGTCGGGGTTACACAAAGTATTAATGTTATGTTGTAAAATGTAAAACATTGTAGTGTTGTCTAGTTCTTGAAAACTTGGCTTCTGAGTTTAATTCCTTATTATTAACACTCTCAGATAAGAGATGCTTAATTGATTTATAGTAATTTCATGTGCTTTTATTTGCCACTGAATATAGAGAACATATAAATATGCAGCTAGGTCAATGTCTACATTAGATTTTAGTGTTCAGATAAATACCTTATAAAAGGTTTAATACTTGAAGCCTAGTATATATATACTTTTTTGTTTTTTATTCAACTTTTGATTATGAAGTCATCTTTTGTTTATTCATCGGTCAAAATGGGCTTCTGGAATGTAGGGGGTCTTTTGAGCAAGTCATATAACTAACTGAATGATCCAGTTTTTCTCAAACAGATAGAAAAATTTGATATTGTTTTTCTGGCCGAAACTCATGTTGGTCATGATCAATGTATCCATAAGATAGGAAATCACTACTGTCATTTTGTTTGTAGGTCTGCATCAAAGCATAACAACAGAACTTTTGGGGGGTTAGCCATGCTATGTAGAAGTGAATTTAAACCACATATAAAGATTCTAAAAAATACAAAATCGGATTTTCAGTGGATTAAGTTAGAGAAAAATTTTTTCAATTTTGACCAAGATTTATTCATATGTGTACTATATAACCCCCCGGAAAATTCATCTTATTCCAAAGGTATTGACTATGATATTCTCGAGTGTATTGAAAAAGACATACCTCATTACAAA